TCTGACGGTCGAGTTCGACTCTGGCAGCAGAGGCACGGCATCTTCGGCCGCGTCCCTGCCGGCCGCCGCTGACGGGGCAGCGCAGCGCCGACAAACGCAGCGCCGACCGCGCGGCTCGCACGCTCCTGGCCCAGCACGGCGTGCTGCAGATGCTGCTCTCGTCCAAGGTGCCCGATCGGCCGCAGGTCTTTGGTGAGGTGCCGAACCGCACGGCCGAGGGACTCGTTCAACTATGTGATGACGTCCTGCGCCTGGACGTTTCGGGCCCTGTGGCCGAGGCGGCGGCGACTGCGGGCCCTGCGCCGAAGTCGTGGACTCTATCGTCCGAGACTGGTGTCGTGGTGCCGCTCTTTCTGGTGGCGATGAAGTGCGCGGACGAACGCGTGACGGCGAGAGCGGTCGAGCTGCTCGCCGCTTCAAAGAGGAGGGAGGGCCTCTATGACGCCGTGGCGGTCGCGAGCCTTGTCGGCCAGCTCAAGTGCGTCATGAACCAGAGGCGACAGCAGTCGGAGGAACTCGGCCTCGGGAGCAGCCAGGAGGATGCTCTGGAGCATTGGGTCGCTGACCTGCTCGACCAGGCGCCTGGAGGGCCCAGTACAATGACGGCTATGTTGGATTGAGACAAGTACTTCAAGTGACGATCAATACGATCATGTACACGCGGGTTGAGCATTACATTGGCGGCAGCATGGCTAGGCGAGTTTAGCTTTGTATGAGACTCTGATGCAGCTTCTGTATTTACCTGGCGCAGAGCAAAATGTGAACGTGCACGCTTCATGGAAGCCACGTGAAACATCCAGGCTGATCATGATTGAGTCTCATTACTACCTCGACCTTGTTATGCGCGTCAAAAAAAGAAAAGGGTATATAGAATCTCTGCACGGTGACTTCCAGCCAGGACCAGGATCCATGGTCTTCTCTCCCACCCCGACACAAACACATGACCCGAGAACCGGGGCCACTAGGAAATTTCTCATAGGCTGCATCTCTCAAGCCACGGCACTCTTTCCATTCGGAGTCGCAGCATGATGGCCGATGCCCAGAACTCGCTGCAGGCTGCCCCTGATCCCCTTGGCGACGCCCTTGCTCTCTTCGGCGCCGGCCTTCTCCCCGCCTCCGCCTCGGCCGAGGAAACCAAAACTCATGCGTCTCGCGGTGCCGAGACCGTCACCTGCCCCCGCCGAGGCACGCTTCTTCTTCCGCACGGCCACGAGGCTCATGGGGTCAGCGGGCGCCGGGCGGGGCGGCCACTCGCCGTCGCGCTTCCAGCCCGTGACGCACGCACGGATCATGTCAGAGAGGTTGACCGGACAGGACGGCGTGAGATTGTGGAGAATGACTTTTTCGTAGAGCGAGAGGTACACGGCCGGCGTGATGGAGGCACGCATGGGGTTATTCGGCGGGAGGAGGGGTGGTGCGAGGGGCAGCAGCGTCTCGACGGAATACGCTGCGGTGGACGGAGCCGAAGTCGTGGAATGCGATGAGTCCTTGGAGCGCTGGGCGCTGAGGTCGCGACTGCCATCTTTCGAATCATAGCCGTCCGAGTTTGTGGTAGATGCGTCGTTGCTGCGGCGCTGCTGAGGAGGCGAGCTGTGGTGCGCGGGAGAAGGGGGCACAGATGTGCGCTGGAAGAGCCGCTTGGGCGACAGAGACGCAAAAGAGGTGGATGGAGAGATGGGCTTCTGGCGCACGCGGACCGTTTTCGCGCCCGTCCAGGCATTGCGGCGGGCCTCAAAGCAGGCGAGACCCTCGTTCCACTGAATCTCTTCGCGAACAGCTCTCCTCCGCTGTGCCTGCTTGTCGACGACTGAGGCTTTGACGGCGGCGCCTATCGCCTCGGGCGTGTCGAAGCGGAAGGGCGAGAGAGACATGGGTGGGGCCTCGTCGTCGGAGAGATCCGATACCCAGTCGAGTCGTGGCCGGTAGTGGACAGGATCTTCCGACACGGTGCTGTAGACAGACTCGGCGTCGCTGTCAGGGCCGTCGTCTAGCGCCTCCTCCGTGGACTCGCGATTCCTCTCCGCGGCGGCTGTCACCGAGTCGTCCCCAAATTGTGGTTCAGAAGGGGATGTCTCAGCTGGTGGCTGAGGAGTGGGGTCCGCTGCGACGTCGTCGTCGTTTTCGGTTGACTGAGGAGGTACAGGCGCGGGCACCGAGGCGGCAGCCGACACAGGCGGCCAAACAAAGTCCCAATCGTTGCGCACCTTTTCCTCGAGGTGACGTCTGACGGCCTCCTTCTGCTTGGCCTTGTCCTTGCTAAGAAGGTCGACATCGTAGTCCGCATGGGGTAGCGGCAGAGGCGCAGCGAAGACGGAATGTCGAATCTTGGAGAGCGGCGAGCGCGGCGACCTGTACATGTCGGAGAAGATCATTTTGGCGGATGTGGGCGACGTCTTGACGTTCAGGGCCCCGCAGCGGCAGTCGAGACAGGCGGCGGTGTTGGCTTTATATCGATGGCGGCGAGGGGCGCGGTCGAGGCCGAATGCGGGGCGGAGGAGGTGTTGGTGGTGGTGGTGGTAGTGGTTGTGCTGGGAGGCTCGTGAATTCCCACC